GGTATCAGAAACTTTCAAGAAATTCCAAGAATAATTTTAAATTAGTGTACGAAAAGTTCCAGCAATTTGCCTTAAAGCACAATGCCATGCAATACTAGTTATATAATAATATAAAAAGATGAATTGAACCTATCGCTACGACCTTCATCTATAGACGACATTCGCGTGACGACCTGTGTGTATGAATGACGCCTATAGATGACATCTAGTGTGACGAATTTTGCTGAAATATTTAATATCTTGGCTCAGAATTAGTCCAAATTATTGAAAATTCTGCTTTGCTATATAGTGGTTTTACTTTTAGAGAAGTAACCCAGTAAGCACGCGACATCAGTGCAATAGTCGCACTGATGTCGCGCCGGCGACATGAGACATCGCCGCGTCGTAGTCACGAATGTGTTATTGAGATGGATTCTACACTTGAATCAACATCGCATCGCGATGTCTCTCTCGCGACCACCGTACGACATCTTAGCAATATCCAATTTTAGTATAAATGCAAGCATATTTTTTTTACAGAATTAATAGACAATTTATTAGAAAAGCATTTATTTATTTATAATAATTACATATTATTGAAAGATTACAAATTGGTATGACAAACGTTTACGGATAATTCTACTTTAAAACAATCATAAATAACATAAATCCTAATTTACAATTATAAATAAAATAATAATTTATATTTATATAATGATCCACATTACTCAATCTTAATATATATATATATATATATATATATATATATATATATATATATATATATATATATATATATATATAAATAACTATAAAATAAAAATAAATATATTCAATAGATAAGTCCTGGATTTTTTCAATTTATTGATTGTTTCTTTTCCGAACAGTAAATCCAATAATAAAAAACAATTTGTTTTTTGAAGATGTTTAATACGACGTTTCGGAACTAGGTACGTTCCATCATCAGGTTTATTCTGTAATAATTTATATATCCATATCACTAATATTTTTTTGTTAAAAACACTCGATTTTTTTGGAAGATATTTGACTTAAACACACAAACCTGATGATGGAACGTACCTAGTTCCAAAACGTCGTATTAAACATCTTCAAAACATTTTTTATTATTGGATTTACTGTTCGGAAAAGAAACAATCAATATATATATATATATATATATATATATATATATATATATATATATATATAAAGAACAGTGATGTGTAATCTTATGTATAACAAATTTTTGTACATATTTGAGGAATTACTTATACAGTAAAAACTCGATTTACAGGACTAATTGTTGTCAATAGGCATTTGGCTAACCAAAAATCCAGATAATCGAATGTATTAAGAATTATGTTGTGTATTTATTAAAAATAACAAGTACATACATAGACAGTGTTTATTAAGAAACACTTTCTTACGAATGTACATATATATTTTCTTAGATTACATTACATACATATACTAAACTGCAGCATTAATCATGCAAAAATTCAACTTGTAGGTATGTACAAGTTGAATATTTGCATGTATATATAAATTGCTCGAGGTTTGTAGTTTGCATAATCGAAATCCAGATAAACGAGTTTCTACTGTACATGGAACAGATATAATTTCTGAACCTATATCATTCTCTAGTCTTGACCTATTTACAATTGTGCTCCTCAAATATTGTCTTGACTAAAATAACTTCTTAGGTCTGCCATCTACTCCTAGGGCGAAAAAGTATATGACTTGTCTCATCTCACTACCGTTTCATCGCACTTCATTATACGTGAAGATTTTCTAAAAGAATGAACATAATATGTATCTATTAGGAAATGTTATATATATATATATATATATATATATATATATATAGTACAAGAGACTTACAAATTCAAAAGACAACTCCCCATCTTCACTGACTGTAATTCATCCACAAATTTAACAAGCGGGATTAACTCCGAATGCATTATTTTGAACCATCAATCTTCACGAAACGATCCCAAATATCATCATGTGTTTGATCTTGTAAAATTGACTGGATTTCTATCTTCAGTATCATTTTTCTATGACAATACAGCGGCGTGCTTTTTCTAACCTCTTCATTTGATGTATCGTTCATGTATCTTTCATAATACCATACGAATATCAAGTTAAGTAAACGTTAAATAAATTAATATAGTTTAATTAATACAGTTATATATATGATGTACTTACTTTTCCATTTTATTTCAATGCTAAGTTTACTAACAAGATAAAGCAAAACACTCTTTGTTGACAACCGGCCATCTTTAATCCTAGATAATCCTACTCATAGATTCTACTGTTCCTGTACCACAGTAGTGTTACCACATAACAAATTCACAAAATTCACAAGTTATTCTTTTAATATTTGATATTTATTCCAAACAACAAATAGAATTAGAACTAAGCATCTTTTGCTAAATATTTTGTTTATGATTAGATTATTAAAAATATATATTTGCGGATAAAAAATTATTTTTGAGCATTTCTATTCAAACCTCGCGCCATCAGTAGAAGCATTTCGGGCAATACTTGTTTTTTTTTTATTTATTTATACTTGAACATTTATTAAATTGAAATAATTTTAACAGAGATCAAAATAATTAGTACGTAATTTCGATTTTTATTTGATTTTATTTTTAAATAAAAATTTTGAAAAAATAAGACTTTTGAGATTTTTTAAAAAAATATGACTTTTTTGGAAAATTTGATTTTTTTTGTCCCGAAATTTTTTGAAAATTTTGAATTTTTTTCAAAGCAATAATGCTACGCGGTTATTTCAGAGAAAAAATACCGAAGCGCGTAAGCGCCGCGCCGCAGTATAACGGATAAACTTTAAAAATGTTAACAAAATGTATAATTATTATTAAAATTTCTAAAATATAAGATAATTTGATGTAACGGTTCTCTCTCAATATAAATATAGCTTTTGATAGCCTTCATAAAAAACGACCGATCGGTATGTCACAATTGCAATTTTAAACGAACATCTACACCACATTGGTTTATTGTCACAGCGGGGATGTTGGCAGGGATTTATATAGAATATTGCTGCAACATCACGTGCTTACTGGGAAGTTTTTTAATTTTAAATATATTTTTATCGCAATAATTGGAAAATCTGAAAATATTTTATGTAACAAATACTTGGGCAGTTTACTGACTCCTATATCTGCGTTACCCCGTGGAAAATACTCTCGTAGAAAAAAGGGTTAATTTATGGCAAATTATGGGCGCCGAATCAATTCATGGTGTTCGGGATTAATTATTTATAACAAATTTTAAAGAAATTAGAAACTTCAAATTATTATTGTAGTTTTGTATTTTCTGGTAGTGAGGTTGTTCGGAGCAATTTTTAACGATCACCATTTGAAAAGTAAATGAAAGTGAATCCGCAAATTATCCGTTTCATTGAAGTGCACTTTGGTAAACCACATTTTTTGTTTTTTGGTCTGACGTTAACACAAACAAAGCGGATGGTTTTCCAACTCGTGAACAGGCAACGTATAACTGCAGTTATACGTTATAAACGGAAGACCAGTCGGAATCATTGGTATGTCACCAAATCGCCAGCAATTTTTGATTGAATGGTGAAATTCAGTGCGTGTACATCATTATTCTTTGCGGCAAGAATTGCTCGTTGACCTAACCAAGCATAATTCTCACTAATGTCATTACTCGAATTTTTAATTACGGTGCGTTAAGTTGCAGCAGCTTGCATTAAGGCACGATGCCATGCACAACTAATTTTCTAAGCTATAAACCTTGCGGAGCCCGAGACCTTTCCAACGAATGCAAAATTGTCGAAATCGGTTCGTGCGTTCTGGAGTTATTTCGTCAGGAAGGAAAACCCGACTTATTTTTATATATATATATATATAGAAGATATATATATATATATATAATATATATATATATATATATATATATATAAATTGTCACATGAATTTTGATTTCATATTGATTATGTATTAATATTGATTATGTATTAATATAGATAAGGCTTCGAGACAAAAATATGCTTCAAATAAACTTTGTTAGCCAATAACTAAAATACTTTTTGAAGTTTAGATTAAGGTCGTAAGAATTAAAAAAAAAAGTTTATTTCATATTTTCATTGGTTCAACTATTCAAAAATATGTGTGCAAGAGATTTTAAAAATTTTAATTATTTTCTGAGATGTTTGACTGTGATAAACCTCTTTTGTTTTTTTCCTCGAAACTGTCTATTTCTCAACTTCTACTGATCGATTTACTTGGAACTTGTGCAGTCTTACCTCTCTTCAGTATGGACTACGATCACCAAAAAATTCTGATATTTAATATTTTTTAAAAATTCGAAAATTGCAAAAAAAATTTTTTTGGACTTGCCCGTAGTTCACGCAATAGCGACATAATTCTAGATCTAGATTATTATTAATAATAATATCATATACACACTATATATAAATAATATAAATATATATATATATATATATATATATATATATTTGAGTTAAAAATTTGGGCGTTACATCAAGACATCTTAGCCTTCATTCAGTGGCAATTTAACTATACAAATTAAAACTAAAACTTAAACTTAACTATAAAAATTGAAACTAAACTATAGCTTTAATTTTTATAGTTAAATTGATTGCCACTGAATGAAGGCTAAAATGCTAGCCGAAACATATGGATTTTAAATAAATTTCTAAAACCTCTCATATTATTTTTATTGTCGTTGAAATTTTTTTATGTTGATAGACACCCAACATCCTAAAGAACATAAAATTTTACGGCCCTTTTTTTTTAAAAAAAAAATTTATGAATGTTTGAAAAAAAAAATTATATATATTATGTCTGTTAATAAAACTTTTAAGGTGACCAAAACCTAGAACATTAAAAATAAATTAACTAAAATAAAGCAAATTATTGCAAATAACTGTAAATATAAGCAAATTGTAAAATATATTTTTATTTACATTTATTGTTAATTTTCTCAAACTACAACATTTTTTTATTGTGTTTCTTTAAATTTGCAACACAATTGATTTTTTTTTCAATTGGTTCATTCATTATTTTTTCACAATAATCTCCAAATTCACTATCCACAAAGATATGCTGGCCAATATATTTACTAGGTTTTGCATTCTTTTTTGGTGGTGGAACAGGTGGATTAAAACACATTTGGCTGCCATCAAATTCCTTTAACAATTGTTCTGGGGACCTGAAAGCAAAAAAAAATATATTTTTTTGTACATTCATTAAATGAAAACATTTCTTAGAAGCCTTACAGTTTTCCTAGATCTGGTGCAAGACTGCCTTCACCAGTTGCTGGAACATTAGAAGCAATATTAACGGCCATCTGAAAAAAAGATAAAATAATGTACATTATACAACAAAAAAATTTTTTTAATATGTGCATAAAATATTATTGAAATATATCTAAATATACCTTCCTAACTATTGGGTGAAAATGTCTACTAGCAATAGATAGTTCATATAATGCCGTGCTACTTGCATTACAAAATTCAGGTTCATCTAGATACGGATCATACTTTCCAGTACCTAACGTATTATCTGTGTCCAATAGCAAATCTGAATTTTTGCCCTGAAAAATAAATATAATAATATAAAATTTTCAGCTTCTATATACATGCTAGAATTCCAAATCCCAAAACAGATAATTACTTTACCTGTTGCATCACAGTTCTTATAACACCAAGTAATGATATGGTTCCATTATGTAATTGATGTAATGAAAGTTGCATACATCTCTTCAAAAATGCAAGGAGTCTTTGTTGGGATAGTTGTTTTCGTCTTCTAATCAAAACATGACATAATGTCTTAACAGCAGTTTCTAAATCAATATTTGTTCGACCTAAAATATAAATTCAATAATATTAACTTATTTTAAAATATTGCATTATCTATAATACTAAACTGTAAATAATATATTTGATAATTCTCATTAATAAAACACTTAGAATTTAAACAAAACAAATAATGATTGGAATTACTGCAAAATGATAGACATATTTAAATAAGAATATTTTCAGATGAAACAACTATAGTAAAAAGATGTTTGACTAATTGCAGTTATGTTTTAAATATTATCAAAATTAGCACTAAAGCAATATCTACTTGTTTATCGTTCTTCAATAAATACCAACCTGCATTAATGTGCATTAAGTTTCTGTACAAATGTGTATAAAATCTCAAAGGATCTATATTCAAACACTCTCCTTGCCCTGACAATACAGAAAATACAGTTTGCACACACATCAGTTGATCTCTGTGATTCAACACTCTTTTTTCATCATCATCATCATCACCTGGTTGCATTAATGAATTCAATACATCAACTAAATCTGAGTATAATTCCAGATTTATTACATGGGAAAATCTGAAAATATTAATTGATAATTAATACACTTGCATAAAAAACATTTATTATTCACATTCAAGACATTAAGTATAGATACTGTCATTCAACAGTTCAAACCAGAAAAAAAACTGTATTAATAATAAAGACAAAAAATTAAAATATTTTTTTAAAACAGATATTTCCAAAATTTAAAAAATGTAAATGAATAAACTTACTTTGATAATCCTTCTAATGCCACACTCAAAACTTTTGAATTTGGGGCCCTCTTCAAAATTCTAAAGTATATAGTAAATAACACTTTGGTTATTTCCGTCATTTGTTTTTGCTTTGCTTGCTTATTCTCTTCAGCTTTTGTTTCTAACATTTCCTTCTCCAGCTCTTCTAACTTCTTATTACGTTTTCTTTCACGCTTGGAGAGTTTTAATAACTTTTGTTTTCTAGTCATAAATTTCTTTTGGCGTATTTCTTCTTCTTTTTCAGCATCTAAATTGACATCTTGAATTCGTAATGCTAATAAACAAGCTAAAGCATCTGTGTATACATCATGAGACTGTGCTTTCAAAAGATGGTTAATTGCACGAACTATCTAAATATTGAGAAAATAATATACATAAAACAAAGAATATATATATAGAAGTATTTTGAAATAAAACACCACCATAATGAGATCATATGTGACTCATGACAATGGTGTTTTAATGTTATCAAACTTACTACTAAAGAAATATCTCCTCGTTTATCATTCTTAAATATTGTTTTGCAACAATTACATATCATAGCTCTAATATTTTCCAGATTATGATTCAAAAAAGGTACTAACATCTTTGCAATGTTTTGTGAAAAGTTAAAATAGGGATGTGACTCTAATAATGAACACATGCAGCGAATAGCAATTTCAGCCAACTTTTTATCAGAATCGGTTAGTTTTTTTCCTAGCTTTTTTTTTAATGGAGCAGTCATTTTTTCAAGTTTTTGCAAGTATTTTTTATAGTAATTTAGCAGAGTTGTTTCATAACTTTGTAATTGCAATGTATCCTTTTTTAACTTGATACCAGTATTTTCTTGATGTTTTATTTGGTATTCTGGCAATATGTCCCGGAACACCTCAAATATGGAAACTGCTGCCAATTTTCTTATCTAAAACATAATATTTATTAACAATAAGTTTAATAATTCAAATAATAATAATTTTTCATCATCATTATTTATAAATTATAATAAAATCCTTCAATTTAATTAATATATGTCTACTAAATATTTTCAAAAACTTACAGTGAACAGATTAGTAGTCCCATTCTTTGAGTCATCCAACAAATACAAAAGTTCATTAAAATGTTTCACTTTTTTTTCAGGACTTTCTAATAATCCTGAACAAAAGACTCCTATTCGAAATTTCTGTTTTTGTAGTTCTGCTTGTCGTTTTGCAAATAATTCTGCAACAGAGACTGGTTTTGTAGGATCTATTTCATTGTCATCTTCCAGTACAAAAATATCATCATCGTCTGAATCGTCATCATCTTTGCGAGTTTGCATGTTATGATCAATATTTTCTTTTACTTCTTCATCTTCATCATCTGGTATTTCTTCATCAACGCTACGCATAATCAAACCTGAAATAAATATTCTATTACAATTTGCGATAGATAAAAGTTTAATGCTTTCACTACCTATGTATTGGCTAGGTTACACTTTATTTGCAACCTTCAGAAAAATAAACTAGTCCTTTCATACTTTTTGATTAACACCCACCTGATTTTGTTTTTATTGGAAGCAATAACTTAGTTCTCTTTGAGTTCTTCTCATCAACATTTTCTTCTTCATACCGAGATTCAATCTCATTATCTTCTCCATCTAAATTTGGTTTCCTCTTACGCTGTTTTATTGGCTCACATTTATCTTTAAACCTGAATGTCGAATTAATATTAAAGAATAATAGAATTCAACTAGATTATAAAATACATCATCCGTTAATATTTTGCAATCTAGATTGCTGACACACAGGACTTCTCAACAACTCCAAAATTATTTTAACCATATATGAGAACTACTTTGCTTTTTAGAAGTTCTGCGCTTATCTTTATAATATAAGTTTTTAGGATTAAAATTCTTCTAGATTTGTTGACTCGTCATATGTGTCAATGAGTCTAAACAAACAATGGAGAAGAAAGCGTTACTACTTGATAAAACAAAATGAACAACTGCAATATGTATTACACTATAGCAGTGTTTTAAAAATGAGACATGTTTATCCGTATTACAAAAATGAATAAACATCCCAAAGTGAATCTTTATTGAGAATTATTGATATTATTTTCTCATTAAAAAAATCTTTAAAAGAAGTATTACAAATATAATTTTAATGCAATATTCTTCGCTAAGAAACGGATCAAATCTAAATACATATAATTACAATACAATGACAGTCATTACCGAATTTTATTAAGCAATGAATAAGAAGTAGATTTCTCAGCAACAGCTTTTTGCAAAAAAGACAAATCATCTTTTTCCACCATCTCGAGCATTCCTTGTCCATGATCACTCTCCTCTGAGTCACTATATACAACATCATTTTTTGGCGGAGGAACCTGATTATTTGTTTTTAATGCGACTTTATTTCGCTTGTTTTTTATCTTTCCTTGTTTAGTAAGTTTATTTTTTTTCTGATTATTTCGCTTGACCTTACTAATTTTATTTTGCTTTTTCTGGAATGATAATATATATGAAAAATAAGAACATTTAAATTTTTAACTGATATATTTAATTAAATATATTAAATTATATACCACTGCCATGATTAGTTACAATCATAAATTATTTATATTTTATTATTAAATGAAACAAAACTAATAAGCTATTATTATATTGTCTAGGCTAATAAGTTAAGGTTAGAAAAGACATAACCAAATTCTGAAAACGTGCGTAAACAACCAGGTGATGACGGTCATTGCATCCAACATGCAAACTGAAAAGATAGATGAGACAGGGTTAGTCAACCGATTTGCATAAAAAGCATAAAAATAACTATCATTCAAATACCCTAGACAATATACTAATACCATCTACGATTGCTACAATTATTGATATTGTATTGTATATACTCTTCTTTTATCTATGGCATTGCATATAACGCGTTTAATACCAATAAACGCGATAAAATAGATAAACAAGTATGGGGCCGTTCAAGTATTACGTAAGCACGGGGAATGGGGGTATTGATTTGCTTATTTTGCTTAATTTGGGTAAGAACTTTTGCTTACTTTTGCTGACATAAGGGGAGAGGGGGGGGGGTAAATAATTGTAATAAATCTGCTTACGTAATACTTGAATGGTCCCTATGCGCGCTACATTCTTTTTAAAATGCAAAAGTAATTAATAATTACAAATTAATTAAATTCATACGATTTAATCCAGAAAATAAATTTAAATAATGTTATTTAAAAGAATAGAATATTTCATAAATTAATAGATTCAATAAATTAGTAATAGATATGTATGCAGCCTCAGTACTACTATTATAGAACAGAGATAAAAAAAAACACATACAAAACATATACAAAGGCATATAAATAAAATACTATAGAATATTAAATAATTATTTGTGAAATAATATTTTTGCGTATTGCGTAAATACCTACCCTTAAACATCGCAACATCCTACACACGTTTACGATTTTCGAGAATTTACAAAAATAATCGTGTCGCCCATAATAGAAGAATAAACATAGACGTGAAGCAATTGGGTTAGGTTATTCACATCTGGCGACCAACATGCTTTTGACGTATTACCACGAATAGAACTGTCAAATAATCAAGACCAATATTATCAACAAATCTTCAAAATGATGTTAATATAATTGTTTAACCACGTTTATATTATTAAAAAATGGCGGAAGAATTAAAAAAATACCTTAATCAGCTGCTCCAGAGGTTGTTCAATATAATGTATTCTTTAAATACACAATCAGAATCTTCATTATCATAATACTTTTCTTACAGGGTTAATGGTTTGTTATGTATTCTCATAACAGATAGGGATGGCGTACCATTATTAAGGGTTGCTTCCGAAAGAGCCCCTGAGCTGTCTATGAGGCCAGGTTTTCTATCAACTTTTGGCATGGCTACAGACCAAGCTAGTAAATTAGGTCTAGGTCGTAATAAAACAGTTATTTGTATGTACTCAAATTATCAGGTAATAATAAGTTATATCATGATACTCTGTTTTATATATACTTGGCCGATTATTTTAACTACATTATTTCTTAGGTGATACAAATGAATAAGCAACCATTAGTTTTGAGTTTTGTAGGAACAGAAAGTTGCAACACAGGTCACGTTTTATCCCTCGAATCTCAAATTGAACCATTTCTGGAAGACTTAAGATTTGTGGTTAAGGATTCTTAATTAAGTATATTTTTAAATATTTATATATTCAATACTAATACATTTATAATGATAAAGAAATAAATTATAAAATATTTATTTGACTTTGAGGGTTATTTTAAATTTAAGTGACTTATGGTTTCATATCATTGGTGCTTAAACTTTTTTAATTTTCATTATATTATTTCCAACAGCAATTAGAATAAACAATTTAATGAGCTTTATATTTAAATTTTTATGTTTTCTTGATTTGTTTTTTCAAAAATATTTAATTTCAATTTATCAAAAATGTTATTAGTAGCATTATAGTTATTATTATAGTTTTAAATTGATGAAATTTTTTATATTGATAAAAATAAGTTGGGAGAAAAAAGTAAATACAAATCTGAATTAGGATCTTGAATTTTAAAATAATACAATTAAAATGTTACGGCGGTCCACTAGTCAGGGGTAAATTAGATTTCATATAAACATTGCACTTTTAGCTAATGTTGCTTTCTCTACAATTTTACAAATTTCGATAAGCATAATTTCTGCATAGTGCAATACATTTTTACCATATTGTTTAAATTGTAAATTCGAATTTAATCTGAATACCTGTCTCAATTGAATTTTGGTCATGCGACAAGTATCAATGGCAAACATAAGGGTCACATTTAACGCGATGTATAAATATAAAATTATAATTTTACTAAATCGTTTTGAAAACTATCTAATAGTTATTTTAATGCAATTTTAAAATTATTTATTTATGTAAAATGTAATTTACAATCTAGCTTTTTAGTTAAAACTAAAAATAAACTAGTGGGGTGTATGGCATCGTGCCTTAAGGCAAATTGCTGGAACTTCCCGTACCGTTACGAAATGTTCGAGGAATACTGAATGTTTTCAAATAGATTATTATAAATATTGTAACATTATGTAATATTTATAATAATTATCTAAACTGAATTGCAAATTTAAAATTATTTGTTTAAGTTATATTAGAACTTTAGTCAGAATAAAAATAAAATCTGAATTATTTTCGATATACAAAATAAACTAAAAAAAAAAAACAATATCAATTATTTTGTTAAGGCAAGCAGAAAGTTCTTTGAATCATTTAAATCGGACGCTTAGTTCTCTCGAAAACTGCCATTTCTTACATATTTAGCTCCGTATCTTCAAAATGGCTGGGCCTGCCTTTGCCAAAAACTAATAAACACTTCTCCCAATCATTACTAATTGAATGTTTTTTAGATCATTCAAATCGGATACTCCGTTCTCTCAAAAATTCGATTTCTATTTTCTGCACTCTTTGCTCCGTATCTCCGAAACGGCTGGACCTGCCTTTGCCAAAAACTAATCAGCTCTTTTTGTATCAGGAAATTTGTATCCATACATACATACACACACACACACATACACACACACATCCATTTTTTCTGGGGTATGCCAAAACGTTCAGAAACCTTCAAAACGCCGAGAAATGTAAAAATTTTCAATTCCGATTTTCGGCCCATTACAATAACTTACCCTACGGGAAGTTAAAAATTACGAATATTCATTCTTGAATTATGTCGTGGCATGGCTAGCGAATTGAATAGGACTTCTAAAATTCTGTGGCAAAATTACAGCTTTGCCATAGGTTTATATTGTACCTATTTCCCTTTCAAACACTCTGTTTATCTTCATATTTAAAATTTCAATTTCTACATTTTTTTGATAATATTTCTGCAAGTCATTAATGAACGTGCGTGTGTACATTGGGAAATACGAATTAATGATTATGCAAAAATTGATCTATTTTAAAAATTTGTCGCATCTAATTTTATCGTCGCTAATATCTAAGAATTGTTTTGAAAATGTTTCAGTGGACAGGTCAGGAAAAATGTAAGTTTTTCCATAAGCTTAGAAATTACTTGATCAACTAGTTATCAAGCTGAACAAAAAGAATTGGACTACTCACATGACTACTATGAAATAGAGATTTGTGGTAGGAAGGCAAACATTTGGGGTTGTATGTATTGTTCAATTCCGCATTAAAAGAATTAAAATAAAGAAAATTGATTCCAAAATTTAAAAAAAAAGTATTATGGTTGGCCAATCGTATAAAAATAAATAAACTTAGGCTTTTCTATAAATTTAAGAAAATAAGAATTAAAAATCAGTGAAAAACATTAACTGACTGAAAGCAGGGTGAAAAATAATACGATTACTTATATATATACAAAATAAGGGGTTTGTGATAGAAGGATGAAAATTTAAGACTTATATAATTGCGAATTATAAAAAATTATAAAAATACCCAGAAACTAAAAAAAAAACTTAAGGGGGGCGATACATGTAATCGCCTTAATTTTTACCATTTTTTGAGGACTTTTTAAACTGGGAAGGAATGATTGAATCTTTTTGAACTTTTTTAGGGTTATTTATTATATATTAAAATACACGAAAAAAATTATTTTTTTATTTTTTTTTTTTAAATGGCTGCCGTAAAAATAAATCTGCCAAGACCCCCTCGGAAAACGCCATCAATTTGCGGGCGTTCTCACTTTCGTGAGTTTCGTCGTTTTGAGAAAAACGCGTTTAAAGTTTTGACACATAGAACAGATAAGAGTTGAGGCGTGGCACTTAAATGAGTTTTTATTGTATAAATAATGATAATTTTGTTTTGAATATTTACAGGCATATTTTTGAGATGTTATTGTAACGATTTATGAAAGAAAAAAAAATCGATTTTTTTTTTCTTGTTACATGTATCGCCCCCCTTAAGTGACCAACCGTTATCACTTAGGTATGAAAAATAGATGTTGTCCGATTCTCAGCTATACTGATTCAGTATTACTGAGCATTGTTATAAAATTTTATAAAAATTAGTCAAACTCTTTTAATGGAGTATTGCGACGAACAACATGACACGAGAATTTAATATATGTATGTATAAATGTGTGTGGAGTATTATTAATAATATAAGCAAACAATAAAAACGAATATAAGCAATATAGAATAAATTTATTTAAAAAGGTTAATTGATACGTTTAGTAAATTGAAAATAAAAACTTTTACATATCTTCACGTTTTAAAAGTTTCTGAACATTTTGACATACCTAAGAAAAAATGGATGTGTGTGTGTATGCATGGAGACAATTTTTCGTCGACGATTTCGGATGGATGAAACAATTTGAAAACTCAAAAAGCAATCGATTCCTATTGATAGAGATATTAGTTTTTGACAAAGACGAAATATACAAGTTTTGGCAGTTTTTGAGATAATTAAGCATCCGATTTGAATGATTTAAATATCTTTCCGCTTGTGTTGACAAAACGATTGCTTTTGGGGATTTTTTTTTAATTTCCATATTTTTCTTTGAATATTGAATATAATTCGGATTTAAATTCTAGCTAAAGCTCTAAAGCTCACTTATATACTTCAAATAAATAATTTTAACTTTGCAGTTCAGTTTATATAATTCTTATAAATATTATCCAATGTCCTTTATTTTAAATCCGATTGATCAAGTTTCAAACGTCGTCGATCAATTTATAAGCTCTTATATTTTGTCTATAAATTACGAGTAATGAACGAAGTTACAGTACTTGTAAAAATCTATTAGAAAACATTTAATATTCCTTGAGACATGATGCCATACACCACTAGTTAATTGATACTATGCAGAACTTTTATAAACCTCGCTACAGAATATCTTACTCTTATAACTTATAATGAACATTAATTTCTACACTATCAAATGATATTTTAAAAATAATGCGTTTTATTACATGCATAAGTGTGTTTAAAACTATAAAATAAAATAAACCAGTCATTATCTAGATGGCTATCAGGACGCTTAGGATGTCATCGAACCCCAGGGCGCCTATCCCTTATTCTGGAGATATCGACTGCATGTATACTTCATATAAATTACTTAATTGGTCTCTAATTTAGACACAAAATTATGTGTGATTACTAAATAAATGTGAAGACAAGTAATAACAGTTAAATATATTGACCCCGAAAAATTGATACCTACCTCATAGATAAAATTATGCATAGGATAGAGCGGGGCACAAAGGACCTGTTTGAATTTGAGCAATTGTATAGTGAAAGCCAAACTAATTATATCACGAAAAATAACACGTATCAATCAAACAACTATCTGACTATGTTCAGTAAAACTCCCAGTTAATTCATGATTGCAGAAATGTGTTTTTGGGGCTTTTCAAAAATTTGTAATCTGGTCTTTTTTACCAGATGGTTTCTGAACATTTTGGCATACCTTTCAGAAAAAATTGCGTATGTGTATTACGTATGGATGCAATTTTTCGTCGACGTTTTCGGGCGCACGGATCAACTGATTTGAATGATTCAATAAACATTCGATTCCTAATTATAGTAAGATGTGCTGATTAGATTTTGGCAAATACAGGTTCAGCTGTTTTGGAGATACGGATTGGAGAAAACGCAGCATCTGATTTGAATGATTCAAAGAACTTCCTGCTTATGTTGACGAAACGATTGTTATTAGGGAAAGAATATTTTTTTGATTTCAAAATTTAAAAAAAATTCACTTTACAAAAAATGTTTTTATTTGAATATCGAAAATGTTTTGGTTTTAAATTTTAAATCTAGCTGAAATTCTAAAGGTCATTTATATACTTCAAGTGAATAATTTTAATTTTGCAATTCACCTTCCCTCTTCTTTTATTCTACCACCGATATCTCAGAAACAAGTAAATTAAAAATTATTTGAAAGTAGAAGGAAAAAATGTATAATTGATTCTTAAGACGTTGCTATCGGGAGAAAAACAGCAATATTTGAAAATTCATAACGAAAGTATTTTTTTTGTTGCTAGTTTTTTTGGATGTGAGCACTGTTGTTTGGTTTGCAAAACCTTAATATAATTTTTAAGTAATTGTTTCATAAGATGTTTTGTTACTTTTAAGTTAGATTCAACAGTTTTTTTATATACCCTTTATAAAAGCTTGAACGTGAGTAGGGTAAAAAGTTTTACTAAACCTTTATCCTAGCTAGGATGTT